AAAAACTTAACTGAAGAAGAAGAAGAAGTTCATAATGAGAAGAATTTGTTCAACCTTTTGCTTGATTATATCACAGAAGGAGATAGATTAGCATCAACATTTCCAGAAGTGTTCATAATAAGAAGAACTCATCTGAAGAAGGAGAAGAAGTTCATAATGAGAAGAATTTGTTCAACTTTTTGCTAGATTATTTCACAGAAGGAGATAAATTGTCATCCCAATGGAAAAGTTCATAATGAGAAGAACTAATCCCAAAGAAGAAGATGAAGTTCATACTGAGAAGAATTTGTTTAACATTTACATCCTAATCAAGTAAAGTCAAATGAAAAAAAAAACTTATTATCTTTTCATCTTTGCCCTATTCTCGTTAACACAAGAATAAGCAAAGAAGGGCAGCTGAAGACATTAGTTTTTTTCATTTGGTTTTATTATTATTATTATTATTATTATTATTATTATTATTATTATTATTATTATTATTATTACAGGCCTAAACCAGAACCCAAAAACCCAAAACCCGACCTAGTTACATAAGCCTAAACCCAACTAGGGTTTCAGCATCTTCACCCAACCGTCGCTCCTATCAGTCGTTGGATCTAACAATATCCAACGGTCCAGATGGTCCCAGCGAGAAACCCTAGGGTTATGATACCCTAGGTCCACGCGGCCGTCGTCTTCACTGCCACCACCTCAACGTCGCTTCACCTGCTGCCACGACGCCCACCGAAGGCTTCCAGAAGAGTCATTCCAGACGCACACGTCGTCCAACAGTGAGTCACCACTAGAGGTTCGGTGACTCACTGAAGGGAGCCTTATTAATCGGTCCGAATCAAGCGTCGGTGATGGCTATAAAGCCATTGACCGAACCTGTAAAGAGGGATACAGAGAGCAAGCCAGAGAGCAAGAAAACAACCAAAAACCCACATAACCAACAATAAATCCACAATACAAAATCGAAAGAAAGAGAAGAGATTGAAGGACTTACCACCAAGGAGCTACACAGTCGCCGGAGCCTCTGAATCTCGCCATATAAACAAAATATCGAAGGTATTTTTTGTAAGATCTACGCAAATAGGAGACTTTTTAGGAAAAATGGGTGAGGAATTTTAGTATTTTCCGGCCACCTGTGACGGTGGCCGGCGGCGAAGTTGGCGGTGGCAGATGGCTGCCGGCCGGCAACCGGATTCCATCCGATGAAGGAATTATAGAGAGAGACAAGAGAGAAATTTTTTTCTCTCCCTTAGAGAGAGAAGAAGAAGAGAAGAAATGAAAATAAGGCCTTAAGGCCGGCCATAATAGGGTATATATACCCTCCCTTAAACGAAGTCGTTTAAGGGAGGGCCTTTGTGTAATTTTACGAACAACTTAACTATTCCCGAAGCCACTGTGATTTTAAAACTTTGTAATTTGATCCTTAAAGCATATTTTTATATATTATAATTTAGTCTCTTAATTTTATTTCTTTATAATTTAGCCATTTCCATAATATATATAATTTAGGTAAAATAACAGATTTAGTCATTATAATTTTATTAATTAATATTTTAATCCCGAAAGCATGTTTTAATTTATTTTAATTTGATATTCAAATTTGATATATGTTTATTTTAGTCACTAAATTAATAATAAGGTAAAATAGCATGTTTAGCCCCTAAAATATTAAATAATATGTTACGAATTAGACCATTTAAATTTAATATGTTATAATTTAATCACTAATTTTAAATACTTTCATTTTATATTTTAGTACTATAGCTTTAATTTTATTTATTTTAGTCACTGTTTAGTCATATTTTAATTTTATATGTTTATTTTCAATATATTTAATTATTATTATTATTATTTAGTCATATAAATATATATAATAAATATTATTTATTTATTTGTTTTATTTTATTTATTTTAAATAAAAATCCTATTTATAAATTTAATTTTATATAAATTACTTTTAAGAAAAATAATCATATTTTAATATTAAGAAAAGGGTTGTCTTAAAGCAACTAGAAGTCCTTTTCTGATATTCTTAAATAAATAAATATCCTACTTTTATAAATTATACATATTAATTTATTTATTTATTTTAATATTTTTAGATAAATATTTTATTAATATTTATTTATCTTTTAATATCAAGAAATGAGCTATCTTAAAGCAACTAGAAGTCTTTTTCTGATATTTCTAAGTAAATAAATATTTTATTTTATTTTAAGGAAAAAAATTTAATAAATATATATATGTATATTAAATATATAGATATTAATATATTTTTAAAAATTATACTAATAAATTTGAAATAACAGGATTATAAATTAAATATAATTTTGATTTATTAAATTTTCAATAATATAAATAATTTATAATTAATGGGTATTAATTTTGGGCGTTATAGGGTGCTAATCATTCCCTAAACGTAACCAACCACGAATCTTTTTTTACTAAAATTGTTTGATGATACACAGATCAATTTATCTTTTAAATTATGTTTTCTTAAAAGTTATTTTAAAAGATTATTTTTAGGTATTTGACATGCTTAACCCAAAAATATTAATGGCGATTCTCAAAATATTTTTTTAATCAAAATCATTTATTTATTCATTATATTTTTCCCGCCAAATAAAAATTCGTACCTAGACAAAAACGGTTACAACAACTCCTCAACTATAAATTGTTACTTCGTTTACACAATCCGTTAACAAAATTAAAAATAAAATTCATGGATTAACAAGAACATGTCAGGTTACCTCTCAATTTTTATTTTCTTTATTTAAATAAATAAGTAATAATAATAAAATAAAATAGATAAACTACCCAAAATACCCTTCTTCATCAACCCACCTGTCCTCCCCCCACCTCCACCGTAACATTGCCGCGCTTCCAACGACCGTACCAATCATTAGAAACAATTCAACAGCCAATCTGCTGAACTCATGATATCTATTGAATCATCATAATGAAAACAAAAAATCAAAAACCAAAGGAACCCAATTAACCAAAATGTGCCAATAAACAAACTATTCATCTCACGAAAATTCAATCTTTTGTTCTTCCTCTCACAATTAAAAACACAGGAAGGAGAGTAATTTTGATATTCTATAAATTTTATAAACAGAGGTGTAGGGAGAAGGAGAGAAGCAAGAGGAAAGAATCGTGTAAGGAAAAGGAGAGGGGAAGGAGAGGTGTTGGGTTAGGGAAAAGGGGTGGTGTTACAGGTAAGAGAGAGGGACAACTTTTGTCGTTTACCTATTTCATTTTATTATTTGATTTTCATTTATTTAGATAAAGAAAAATAAAAATTAAATGGTGATGAGGCGTGTTCTGTTTGATTCGTGAATTTTATTTTTAATGGTGTTAAATGGAGTAACGATTTATAGTTGAAGGGATAAAATATCTTAAAAATATTTTAAAAGTTAACTTGATAAAAATAATATAATCAAGGGGCAATGGAGACTTTAAGCCTATATTAAACTCCTTACCCAAAAGAATTCAAACCAACCATAGCATGCATGTGCCCACTAAACAAACTTTATCTCCACTATTTATTTCTTAAGAACTGCAACTTTCTTCTAATTTTTTTTAGTGTTTTATATTTAATATATTAATCATGCATACATTTATATAATTTATTATCATCAAATATAAATGCTATTTTAAAACTCTGCTCACCAAATGTCGGTAGTTGCAGCCTGCATATTGTTGTTAGAAGATTATCTCAAACCTCTTCACACGACCCCGTAATAAAAAGTATCATTGAATAACTAATCATTTTCCCCTTAAACTAATGAACAAAACGTCGCGTTTAATTTATAATTACATCACGAACTTGCTTGTGTCATATTAAGGAAATTGTTTTGGCTGGCTAAGTTGACACCAAAAGACTAGTTGAGTATAATTTGTTTCAAGTCTTAATTAAAGATTCGCGTAATGTATTACTTTACAATCAATGTGTGGTGCTTTTATTGTAATTGAATGAGGAATATCAGAGGTTAGCTACCAGACAGTAAGATAATCGGTTGCCCAACACATTAATTTATGTCAATATCTACTTATTGCTTTGGGATGCCACTGACAATTACTTTGAATTATCACTCTTTTTATACGAAGATTTTTTAGATTTTCAAAAATTCTCTTAAGATATCTTAAAATTCATTCGGAGATGATTCGTTGTTCTCTGTATTTGGTTACAGTCCTTTGATATGATCATTGTTAATCTTATCACCAACTTAATCTATTATTTGACGATCGGATCTATCCACTTGCCAACTCCTCAATGACCATCAATTCTAAGATTCACATCAATCATCCTATTGCATAGTGTTAGGGACATACAAACTCACACAAACAAAACCGAAAAAGAGGATCTTGAACCTTACACCCATTGTTCATCGTATTTTTTTAGTTCGTTTTTCTCCTTTTAAATCATCACCGATTGTAATTCTTAGTTCAATTAAAAAAATGAGTTGCTATTCTTACCATTAATAGTGCTATTTCTTTTAAGAAAGTATATTATGTTTAATTTAGATATTTTATTTTATTAAATTTTAAACATGAACTATCAGCTAACGTGTTAACATTTTTAAGTGAACTTGATTTTACGTTTTAAATCTGGTGTTTTCATTCAAATTTTAGTAAATTAATTAAAGAAGAAAGTATATTATGTTTAATTTAGATATTTTATTTTATTAAATTTTAAACATGAACTATCAGCTAACGTGTTAACATTTTTAAGTGAACTTGATTTTACGTTTTAAATCTGGTGTTTTCATTCAAATTTTAGTAAATTAATTAAAGAAGAAAGGGGTGGATATTCAGGAAAACGACCCTTTCCGGCTCCCCTTGTTTGCTTCCACTCTTCATGTACATGCTTGTCATCTTCCCTCGGAACGTGTGTTGGATACTCTGCTTTTTCTTGTATATAAAATTTTAAATTAAGATATCAACTAGGGATTATATATTTTGGCATTTACCCTTTAGTACTGATCAATTACTGATGAAATCAGGGAGGAAAAAAAGGAAAATTATCATTACAAGGGACTCTCTTCAATGCACTCCACAGTACAAAAACAGATGATTTCAAAGCAAGAAGTAGAAGAAGAAGAAAAAGAAACAATAATTAAAAAACCTGTAGCTAAAGAGAATCACCTTTCTATATTCTTTCATGGCCCTTGCTAGAGCTGCTGCAAACCAATCTGCACTGCAATTTACTTACCCAGCTCTTGATTTCTAAAAACAAACTTCAATTGAAATGATGTTGTTGTTGTTGGTCGAGCCATGGCCAAAACCCGGTGTGATCCTCCATGGTGCAGAACATGTTGGTGATGAGGCTTTCTTCTTTAACCATTTGAGTTGGCTGATTATGATGATCGTCGTGGCTCGAATTCGACGACGCTGCTCGGAACACTAGTGTCGTTAACGGCCTCTCGTGTGCCGATACAGACATATCCAATTTCAGATCAGAGCTGTTGTCGCTTCGATTGCTGCTACAGCCTTCGGTTTCTTTACTCAGGTTGACACATTCACTTGCTCCGTCTCTGCTCTTCAGTGTCATTATCTACTTGCACACAACAACCGCATTAATTAACTTACAAAGTGCTCAAATTAATCATAATAAACAGATTACCTCTGCATGGAGTTTTTTGTTGTGAGCTCGAAGTGCATCATTATCGGCTTTGACCAGTTGGTACTGTCTCTTAAGGAGATTATAATCTTTCTCCAGTTGTTTGGTTTTCCATCTGGCTTTTCTGTTCTGAAACCAAATAGCAACCTGTCTGGGTTGCAGTCCAAGAGCTCTAGCCAGCTGCATTTTCCTCTCGGGTTCGAGCTTGTTGCCTAACTCGAAGTTCTTCTCTAATGTCTTCACCTGCTCCATGTTAAGCCTCCTCTTCTTTTCTCCTGCCTGTGAACCCTCATCTGATAAATCATCCTCACCGTTTGCTTCTTCACACACATCTATCCCTGGAAACGGCATCGATCTCTTCCCCAGAAACGATGCAACACCTATGGTAAAGCACCCAGAAAATCAAAACCAGGAATCGGATTAAACAAGATCATATGAAAAGCATGAAGAAAAATGGAGTAGTACCATGGAATTCCTGAGGGAGAAGTTGATCGATGGAATTCGTGGGGCGTTGATGATCTTCGTGATCGTGAGGAGGTTGGACTTGGAGCATGAAATTTTCCGGGAAAAAGGCCATCCCATGACAAGACATGGAGCATCAAATTTGCTGTTTGATGAAAGAAAGGAAGCTAGAGATCTGATGTATATCAGGCAGAAAGGAAAACTTGAATTTTCTGAATTTGAAGGTGATGCTGAGATTTGTGGAAAATCGATGGCTTATATACCTGATCACCTTCAACCTTTAGCTTCTATGAACAAAAGAAACTATAATTTTCTTTTATATTATTTCTATCTCTATACATTTCTGAGAAAGAGAGAGAAAGATGCTTATGAATGATGAGTCTATTATTTCATTGTCTTTTTATATGAAGATGGATTAATTTCGTTACAAAACAGAGATTTTTAATTTTATTTTGTATGTTTTGAGTTAATTGTATAATATGTCCCTAAATTATTATTTAAATTTTGAATTAATTGATTTTAATGGTTTAAGGGATGGTTATTATCCCTAGAATCTCAGATTCGAGCGTATTTGAACATTTATTGTCAAATAATTGATATTCAATTATAATTATTTATAATTAAATTAATTAAGGCATGCATCAATAAGTTAAATCATTTTAAAACTCTTACCATAATGTTGAAGTATTATCTAATCTCTAATTGGTTTAATTAAACTTGAGAAGACTTATAAATAATAATAAAATATCATCCTTGTTTGATCACTAATCTATATAATTACATTGTACAAAAGCTCTTTCATTGACGCTATAAAAAAATATCCAAATCATTCAAGGTAAAGTTTGAAGTGCAAAATTTTCTTATTTTAAATATGTTCCGCGTTAGATTAAGTTAACTTTTAACTCCCAAACTAATTGGACTAATTGATACTAATGCTTTCAAGATTGAATAAAAAGATTTCAAAGTTTGGAGACTACATTAGAATTTGAGTTATAATTTGGGGATCTTTAGTGCATTAACCCTTTTACTTTTAGAGCTAAACTTTGAGCTATTGGCATTTGGGAGGGAAAAGCTATCAATTTTCCTTTTAAAATTGATTTGACAATAAATGGAAAATTCATGAATTTTTTTATTAAATAATATGATGAAACACACAACCCATTTGCATGTTGAGGACAAAAGTGAGAAAAATAAAAAGGACATAGGCATAGGGGAAAGGGTAAAGGGGAAAGGGGAAAGGGGGAAGGGAAAAGGGGGAAGGGTGGTTAGGGGTGTATATTTGATTTAGTCGACTTAAATATTTTTGAATTATTTGAATTGGTGAGTTTTATTTTATACTTTAAATTTTATTTTTAATTCGTGTTGAGTTTATGAAATTTGAGTTGAGTTAAATTGAGTTGTTCGATTTTCTGCTTAAATTTAATTTAAATATAAATAATTATAATGTTATGGTTCTATTTGATTCTAATTTAAATTATTTTATATAATCATATACGATATACATATATATTCTTTATATTCTTTCATATGCAATATATATATATATATTATGAGAGTTGAGAAACTCAACCCATTAATAACTAAAAGTGTTGAGTTATTCTAGAATTTGACTCGCGAATTTAAAATCTTTTTTGAGTTAAATTAAAAAAAATTAATTTTTTCGAGTCGAGTCGAGTTTTATTGACCACCTCTAAAGATGGTTGCTTACTAAATTAAGCCTGGTAATGTGATGACTCTGAAAACAATTTCATGGAGTGATTCCAATAATTTGAGGGTCATCTTCCTGGTACTATCTTTTTTTCCCATATACTTTAGTAACAAATAGTACTGTTTTCTCAATAAAGAGACTTGTCTTTAGACATAAATAAATATTTCAGAATGGGAAGCAACTTTCAAGAAGCTTGATTGGTTCCTAATATATGTGTGTGTGTGTGTGAATGTGGAGTGGGTTTTTTTGAAAGAGTAAAAAGATAATAACACTACTACTATTGCATGAAGAAATGTGATTGTTTTATAAAAATAAAAAAAGATGTAGGGTGACTAAAAAGTTTAGGGTTTCTTTGGGCGAGGGGGGGGGGAGTATGTGAAAGATGTCATGTGTTTAGATGGTTGAGTTAAAAGAAAAAGAGAAATGAGTTGGATATGCATGTAAAGAGGGAGAAGGAGGGGACCAAGAGCAAAGAGGGGGGTCGGGATCAGATTCAGGGGTTGCTACCTAACCAACCAACACCTATCGTGCATCTGGACCAAACCCGTTCATCAGTTTCGGTCCTTTCTTTTCCTCTCTGCAACTCTAAAATGGCTCCATCTGATAAGAATAGCGATTTGAAAACCCCGAGCAAAACTCCTGTTGCCAGCTCCCCTTGTTTTGTCTTTCACTCCAGCACCATGCCCCATCTGATGCAATCGCTTATTCCCATACCAGTTTTTTTCCTTCTTAAAAGTTAACCAAAATTTCAAACGATATGATATATAATCTAAATTATTATAACTTCACCATTTGACTTAATTATTTGGCATTAGGGTTTAAATCTCTTTTGAGGGACACTGATTAGGACAACATAAATCCATGCTAAAAGCAAAACTTTAAGATTGTGTAATAAAATCATACATAAACACGTTTATTTGATTAGACGTAGTTATGATTTGTTGGGAAAACAACTTTCTTTTTCAACTTTAGCAGACAGTTTCTTTTTCCCCCCTGCTCCGGCAGGCTCATCACCAAAGAAACGTCAAATGTTTGGTTTTCAGACGCTTTAATAAATACTACAACCATAGCTGCTACAATCTTCTGTTTCATCCCTCTTTTTAACCTTTTATACCGTTGACTACTTCTGTTGCCATTATTCTCACTGCCTTAATTTCCATGCACATGGAAGCTGAAGGGTGGATCCATGCATGTTCTCCAACCTTTTTTCTTTTAATTTATATATTCTATTAATAACTACAATATAATTAGAGAGAATAGTATAAATTTAACTAAAATATAAATAAAACAGAAGAGCTGAAACTTGGTTTCCACATGGCCAAAGTTCTTGCTTGTGTTATGAGGGGAGTTGGTTCAGCTTGCAGTCCCATGTGCTAATCTTCGTTTGGACGTCAACTGCATGTCTCTCCACCCCCCCCAACCGCCGCCCAACCCTTTCTGTTCTCTCTTATTACTTTTCCGCCCTCTAAATCATTGTGCCACTCGGCAAAAATGGATTTTACATTCATTATCAGCTATTGCTCCAATTATCTTTTTAACATTTATTATTATATTTTAAAAACATCATAAAATAATTTTAAGGTGCCCCGATCCTAAACTATTCTTTCTCCAATTTATCATGATGCCTAATGTTACAAATGTTAACCATTTAGGTGCACCAATTATAATAGTCATTATAAAATCCCGTTAAGTTTTATGACACGTGTCACTTAACTTAATGGAAATTTATAATGACCACCTTATAATTTTAATTTTTTTTTAAAAAAATAAAAATATTATTAACAAAACTTTTCTTTCCCGTGCGACGCACCCCTTTTCGCTCCTTCCATGACCAAAGGCCACACGATAGACTGTCAAGATCGATGAAACTACCAATTATCACGATCGAATTTGAAGGATTGAGTATTTGAGATTTTAGGGATTTTAGAATTTTGGGTTTTAAGATAATAGTAAGATTTGTGACCGGTCATTGGGTGGTAGGCGACAATGGGTGGCCGGTCACGGGCGAATAGGTGGCCATAGATGACCGACGGTTGGAGTAAATGAGACTAAAATAAGAAATTTTTAGAGTTTGAGGTTTTCTTGATTTTTTTAAAATAGGGTTTTTTCAAAAACAATTTTTTTAAATTTTTATTTTTTTTTAAAAAAGTAAATTTCTAAAATTACCAGATTATGAAACATGTCACTTAATGGGAAAATTAACGTTGTTGACGGTCCGTGCACCCAAATGGGTAATGCTTGTAACGTTAGGCACCGGGATGAGTTAAAAAATAGTTTAGGCGCCTCTTCGAGAATTTAGGTATAGTTTGGGCACTTATTTTGGTAAGCCTTGTAATAATACTGTCTTTTTTGCATTATTTTTTTAATTAGATCCTTAATTTATCTAATAAAACTAAGATCTTTTTATAAATATGTTTGTGTTCAGTCGAGTAGATAGAATTTAGATTTTATTTCTCAAAAGACGAGTCAAGTTTTAATTCCAGTGAAGTCACCTTAAACTCGAGCTATGTCAGGTGGAAGATATATACTTTTTAGTTAGGTCGGATTAACTGAAAACTCGACCTATACCCGTCCCTAGTATTAAGGAATTTTCCAAAGCTTTTGGATTTGACCATGATTTCAATATTACCATATGAATATCAATCCCTTCTTCCACGCTATTATGCATCCTCATCATTATTATCCTCACAAGGGCCAACACTCTTGATCCTTCCGTCATTCAACATTTTTATAAGAAATTTATCAGCTGTAACACCCCAAAAATATTGAAGTTTATTTATAAGATTAAAGTAATTTAATTTGAGGACTAGAGTGTGAGTTATTGAAATAATATATCAATTTTCAAGTTCTCAATTAATTCAGGGCTTAGAACCTAGTTTACCCATTTTCTTTTGACCCTTGACTGATAAAAAAGGGGAACAAAATAAGTGTGTGGTTTTGGAAGCTTGAACCCATGTTCTTCAATGGCTAAGCCTAAGCCTAAGCCTTAGCCATTCAGGCTAGACATTTGTTGCTAATAAGTTAGGTAAAAATATCTTTCAATTATTAAATCAAATTTTAAATCATAAAAAAGTTTTCTCCTTTTGATTCAAGCAAGACCCGAAAAATACCCCCAAATAAAAGCCTTCAGCCCTCCCTCATTGTTTCACCGTCGTTCAGTCTGCTCCGGTCGTCCATGGCGTTCACCACCACCACCATCAGAATCGTCATCATCTTATGATCATAGCCTCAACCACTAAACACCCAAAACAGTAATTGTTCATCATAAAATGAAGAAGAAGAGTTCGAAAACCCCAACTCCGATCTCGATCGTCACCTGACAGTGTCGCGTACCGCCTGCAGCAGTGCGCTTGTCGACACCCTACGACCAAAACCTAAATACTACCATGTCGTAAACCGATATCGTTGGCTTGAATCAACATTTGAAACTTCGATAAAAACCCACTATCGCCTCATATTCTATCTATTTTCAGTCATCTTCGTTGTCGTTTCACCACACTGCCCTCATCATCGAGCTCCTCATTTAGTTCTAGTCAGGACCCAACCAGCAGTGTCCTCTACCGTTGTGTTTTTCCTTCGACCCCCGTGGGTAAGTTCCCGAT